ATGAGATATGAGTTTGTAAGCATGTAAGTCAAATTACGAAACCACTTGTCCTAATCTCTCGCTATAGGGTTATTAACGTTTAACCCTCTAAGGAAAGGCATGACTGGGGCTGCGGGCTCTGCCGTTGCCCGTTAAATGACGGACGAAAGTTCAGCAGAGCTTCCTCGGGGACGCAGTGGGATGCGCCGAGGTCCTGTTCGCACAAATCTGCAATCACAGGCACAAGGCGATCCTCCTACAGTTTCCGGTGAGACCAACTTACGAATCCATTCCACTCGCCTCTTCAAACGAAATGAAAAGTACTCTTATATCGATATACTGACCGAAATAAATCTACTGCACGTTTCATCTGCTTATACTCTCTTTTCTTGATTATTTAATTTTTTATTGTTTTTGTCTTATTTTCTTCAACTTCTATTTTAATTTTGCATTACTTGTTGGCTTCATCGTAGTTCTTGTAATTTTAGAGTTTTTCTGAGTATTCTCAGGTCCCAAATAATATCTTGTCCATCTTTTTTTCTGGATTCTCTATTTAGCCTCGTCTTCACAGCACGTTTCTATGTACGATTTTCTTGCACTAACCGGCTTTTAGATGATCTGGAAACCGAGCACGCTGCAGCTATTGGACAACAAGCCGGCCCCAATGAATTGATAACTTCATCACGGGCGCTCACTGCTGCCGCAGTGAAGGCTAAGTCGGCTGCTGCACTCGCCTGCACGCATCCAGGCGAGGTGTCGTTGGCCGGGGAGCAGCTTAAGCGGGTCGCTGGCGAGTTCACTCGCCATTTGCGCTCCGCCTGTCAGGTGACCGTTCAACGAGAGGCTAGACGACGTCATAACCGTAAAAGATCGCAGACTCACGACCCTTCTTCTTCAGAAGAGGAGGAGGAGCAGGGAGATGCGGTGACTGATGACGAAAATGGCAGAGGAACTAGTAGCACAACTAGCTCAACCGAAGGCGTTCAGACGTCTGGTTATCAAAGCTTAGCATGCCGAACTCAAGCACTTCCAAGTAGAGAGTGTCGGGAAACTTGCGATAAAGTCCTGGAACAAGGCCGAATTTCTCTGATGGAGATCAAACAGATCATGATAGACATGAATAAGGTCAGCTTGCTATAATATGACATTTTCATAATTATGTTGGAGTAATCTTTATTTTGTTTGAAGAGGCGAAATGTCTAGCCATTAATTTCTTGTTCTTGATGTAAAGTGATACATTTCAAAAATATTGTTGATCTTAAATACTTCAGTAATTAGATCATAGATATGAAGACCAAGATGGTGTGGCCTTCTGTTTGGTCGCAGTCTCCTTTAGCTTGATTGTGTTGGTTCGACCTTGTTTTCGTAACTTGGTCGGATTAACATTTAAGTACTTCGTTTATATAAAAAGAGACTGGGTTTATTAGTTTAACATTGGCACTTTCCGAAAACAAATTCATTTTCATAACCCCAAAGCCATCATCCTTCGGTTTCCGGAGAGACCAGTTTACGAATCGCTTCTCTCTTTTCCAAACAAATTGACGGTTATTAAAGAATCATTGTATTATTAGATTCTTCAAAGCCTACTTCTTCTTCATTGAAATTAATTATTGAGGGTGGAACAGAAAATTGTCAACTTGATAAGTTGTAATTCCGTGCTTACGATGGCGTCTCTCATTGCCGATGCTGACTGCAATTACGGCGAAACGTTTGGGAATGTAACAAATCAATGGTCTAATGCTGGAAATCACTTATACTGTGGCAGAGGACACGGGACTAGGTACATTTCACAATTTTTCCCTGACAATCCGACCGAGTTGCAAAAACTATTAAGCTAAAGGAGACTGCGACCAAACACAAGGCTGCACCATTTGATCTTCATACTTACGATTTAAATTAACGACTATTTACTAGAAGGACCCTGGCCTAATCGAAACAAGTAGAACCACAACGTTTGTAGGTTGACACAAGAGAGACTAATGCATATGATGTCATAGACTTGGTATTACGGATAGAAACAGGATAGATGCGGTGATGACTAGAGCTATTCGGCTAACATCATACATGTTTGATCATAGACTTGGTCCATGAAGCAAGGGCGTGACCATGAGTCTTTAGCCTCAAGCTAGTCTCCTATGCAGTTTGAGAATCCTGATTGTTAGGGGTCTACTCAGCGATGGGGACAGTCCGGAAAATAACGCCTTGAGTAACACAGATAGCGTGTCAGGGTTCGAGTGAACTACTTGAATCAGGAAAACTCTGGTAAGACCTATGGGGAGAGGATTGTGGAACAGTATGGCAGACTCTGATCAACATTCCCAACACAAGGTTGAAGGGTGATGAAGGGATGACAAAGCCAGCGTGGGGTGTGGAGAGGTCTCATGAACTTCGCTCAAAAGGGCACACCATACCACATTTAAATAAGCCATTAAGAAATTTTGATAGTGAAAGGATGATGC